ATGGCCCTAATACTCCGTCGTAATCCCTCCAGGGTGAAAACATGTTGATAATTTCTCATCAGGAGAAGTTTACCCTGAGAAGCACATTTAAACATCCAATAATCACATGAAAAAGGGGGCGGGGGGGGTTTGTAAAAGCAGGAAACACACTGTTCAACTATTAGGTACAGTTTGCTGGTGTGTAATTTAAAGAACCTTTCTTGTGCTGGGTTGCGTTACAGTTCAGTGGCTGTACGAGGAGCACCGTGTGCCTGTGTCATAAAGCCCAAAACAGGATCAGGTAGTTGCAGTTTTGCAGGATTTAACACAGAACCACAAAACGAGTGCAAATGTTTGAGCAAGCGAGGAGTGCACCTTGTTCTTTCGCAAATGACATGAACGATTTTAAGGCTGTTACAAGTGTTGGAAGTTAAAGCTGCTACATGTAGAAGATTAAATTGATTTTTGGGAGAATAAATGTAGTTATTCACTTGATACGTACAGTTTCCGGAAGATAACCGCCTCACTTTTGTGTGAAGAGTGTGAATCAACTCCAATTTCAGAGGGAGGAAGCGTCAAAACAACACACTTCCAACAGCTCGACCCTCGATAAAAGAAAACAGATCCTTTGACGGAGAAACAAGAAAACAAAAACCCATAAACCTCCTAATCCCCTGGCACACCTTCTAAGCAGCTCTGTGGGATTTGCTGTGATGTAATACACTACCATTAAAAAGGGATTTAGGAGGCTGCAAAAGTCATCAAGTTTCAAACTCGGCACGTAGCAGCTTTAAGAACCGAGAGCACGTCGAAGCGAGTCAAATGATAAAACAGTTTATGGTTTATGTTCTCGTCCTCCCACGTGTTGAACAGCAAGCCACAGGTCTGAAACCTGAAGGTTTACGAAGGCACTCATCGTGTAGACATCCAATAAAACGTCCGGGGTCACGTTTTTTATTCAAATGTTTCAAAACTGCATCAATTATGTTTGTTGATCCGATGTGCTTTGGTTAGCTTCAGATTACCGAGTGAGAAAAGTTTCAGAAACTGTTAAAGATTCGTAACAAATAACAGAGAAAACATTCAATTCAACTTATTAGATGAGAGTCAGAAGCACTGAGTTCTTTTAAAGAGTCTTTTTAGGTTTCTGGTTCAATATATAAACGTACGGATATTAACCGGTTTTTGGGTTTAACGGTGAGTCGGTTGTGGTGTGTGAGAAGAAGAAAGCCTCATACAGTTAATTAGAGATCAGATCAGAGGGGGAACGGGAAGAATATCCTTTAAAATTAATTTAAAGCTCACATACTCTTCACTTAAGGGCTCTTTACACACTCGCTGTGCGTCTGAGACTTTCACTCGTCAGTTTTTACAAAAGAAACACAAGAAAGAGATTCAAAAGTGAACGTTTTGTTGTGATGAAGATATTAGTGTCTCTTTGAGAGGGCTGAAGGCAGAACTGTCAATGTGTGAAGGACAGAAACGTCAACGGCGAGCTGACTTGTAAAGACATTCCTCGGGGACATCAGATGTCATCACGTAGTGTATTTTTTTTATGTGAGCAGTGAAACCAAATACAGCTCACGTCGAGTGCTGCGCCTTTTCTTTGGTTTTGTGTTCCACGAGCGCGCAAATATATCGGACCGCGTCCACACAACAGATGATGATCCGTACGGAGAGTCAGAGTGACGGCGGGCGCTGACGCAGTGAAAGTCTGAGTGACGGAGCAGCTGCAGTGTGTTGAGCCGAGGCGTCGGCGTGCTACAAGGTTGAGTTAGGAAGACTGCACAGGCCATTCACATGTGTACGTAATATTCAGACATCCAAACGTCAACGGCAAGAAAACACAAACTTAGAGTCTAAATAAGGCTGATTTCACTCCGAAACAGGAGAGCGTTATTATTTCACTGTACTGGATGTCTGTTTTATCCTATTTTGTTCTCAGGTATACAATAAATGCAAGTTATCTCCACTTAAATACACCTGCTGTTACAATCTGGTTAGATGAAGCCCTGGAAGCTTTTTCCAGGTATATTAAAAAACACTAATAATAACCATTATCCGACTTAAATAGTGTTCAGCCTTGTGTTTGTAGTGTAACTGCAGGCTGGATGCAGCAGAGGATGTGCTGTTAGGATACAAAGCGTTATAAAAAGTACCCTGTATTCATCAGATAGTCGCTTCCACCAATCAATCAGATCTATAAATCCCATCAATGCCCCTGTGATAAAAGGAGCAAGTGCAAATTGTGTGAGAAGTTGATCACAGTTCCTCAATTCTTGGCAACGTGTATTTGAGTATATTAAAGAGTAGAAGTCTTGAAGCTGGTTATGTGGAAAAAAAGCTGAATAAGTTATTTTAAATGGATACTGGCTACTGAGCATGTAAAGGAGAACTGTTGTTAACTACAACCTGAGTCTTATTTTCATAGTTTCCCATGTGAATCCCGATCAGCGAGGGGAATACTGCACACGGAGACCGTTTAGCGACGTTCCCAGATCTGATTATCGATAGGAACGATGGCCAGAACTACGGAAAACAAGACCCAGTGGACGCATCATGAAAAAGGGATTACAGCATAATACACAACCAGCCCGATCGAAAACCATCTGGGAACTTTTAAAACCACCCGGACAGGAAGAACAGAGCCGGAGCGTCCGAGCACTCAGACGCTTTGAAGGTTTTCAGGGAAGCGAACTATCTCCAGCATGTTTGAACATTTCACATTTTCAGAGCGAATACGAGCATCGAAAACAAAAAAAAACAGGTTTTGAGGATTTCACCTCTTCCTCCTCTTCCTCGAGGTCTCACAGCTTCTGTCCGAGACCTTCAGGGTTTATGTAAATGAGTCTCACACACACACACCGTCTCCACCGGCGTGTAACTGCAGAGTTAAGAGGTCCCATCCTCGGTTTTCACCTGTAAAGTCCCAATTTCCCTGCAACCTGTAAATGCTGAACCCTTGAACCCGGGTAGAGTTGCAGTCCAAAAACAAAAACAAAAACTTCCACAGAGAGTAACAGGAAAGCAAATATCTTGTTATTTATATTATATAATAAATAATAATACAACTTTTGTTCATATATTTTTGTATATGTCAAAAAAAAAGAAAGTTCGGCCAAAAAAAAGGTTGACTGGCAAAAAAACAGTTGATATAGAAGCAGCCGTTTATAGAAAAAGAAATCATATATATATATATTGCCTAATTCTGAGTATGTGGAGTCGACGATCCGTCTCAACTCCTGAGTTTGAGGAGGTGTTCAACCGCCCGACCTCTCGGCCCCAAAATAAAACCTTCTGCAGCTCAAGCAGGGTGTGTTTCACCTGAGGAGGGGTCCGAGTTAAGCTGGAGATTCATATTTATAGTCTATTACGGCGAGAAGACACCGATTAACTGTTATCCCTCTAACCATCCAGTTCCTTCTCCGGGAGGCCGAGAGGTTTCCCTCCAGCTCAGCTCCGTCCTTCTCCCCCTCTCACCCAACAAACGTGCATCCACCCGCAGAAGAACGCTGAGAGAGACGCCTCAGATGGTGACGTGAAACGAGTCCCAGCTGTCGTCTTTGCCGACGCCGCTCCCGTTCTTGGCCGACGCCGTGCCGTCCCCGACCTCGCCGTCCGGCTGCTCCCCGGTGGGAGTGGCGCCGGGCTCCGGGTAGTACTCGTCGTCCTCGTCGAAGTAGCCGTTCTCCATCATGCTGAGGGTGGAGGCGGCGCTCAGGTCCTGGCAGCTGCCCTTGTACTCCTGGATGGACTCGTGGAGCGACCACAGCTGGCACAGCAGGGACATGTCCTGCTGACGCAAACCCACCTGCAGACGGGGGAGAGTCCGGTTAATATTTATATGTTTATGGACACACACTAAAGAAATCTGCTCCTTTTACACAAACAGCAACACAAACTGTTTCAGGGATTCACGCTCTATAAGAAACCGTTTTCCAGGACTTTTTCTTGACAAAACAGGACATGACTGCTCACAAACACTCATATAATTTACCAGTATGTTTTAGTATTAACACATTTAACCAAACTTCATGAAGTTTCTCATGATCGCTACAAGTTCCAGGACAACACAGATTACTTTTCAGGATATTTGGACATTTTAAATCCATTTCCAGGTGTTTCCATGACTGGGAAACTGTTCCTGCGTGTGCACATGTGGGCCTCTTACTACCAGAAATACCTGAACTCATACATTTTTATGTCGTTTCGTTTCTTCGTAGTCTGACTTTTGTGTTTCTGGATCTTGTGTAAGGAATCATGGAGCAGTTTGAGAAGTATTGGTGGATTAATGTTGGTTTAAAGCAGGATTCAGAGAGTTTAGATCGTCTTAAATTGCCAGATAATCAGCCGATCGATCTATTATCGATCTATAACGACAACATATCCACAGCTAGCCATCAGGACACGGTCAATGTCGGACCCTGCCTCCGTTAAAAGAAGGTAAAAGTGATAAAACGTCGTTCTTCAGTCAAAAGAGAGAACGTTCACCAAGAAATGCAGCAAATTAAAGAAGCTGGAACTAAATTATTTAGCATCTTAACACTTTTTTGTGAATAAAAAAGCAATAAATTGTGTGATCGGTTCAGTTCAGAGCAAAATACCTTCATAACCAGACACCAGGGCTGAAACGACGAGTCCATCAGTTTATTAATTGATTAAAAAACAAGGTATCAACAACCTTTTATACCGGATTAATCATTTAACGCATTAAACAAAACCCTGACTGGTTCCAGCCTCTAAAATCTGAGAATGTGCATTTGTAATGTGAATTTTTACAATTTTCTCTCATTTTTACAAACGATTTATTCCTAAAACCATCAATTAAATCTAATAAAACATAAAAACAGAATAAATAGGTCCTTCCTCGCCCTCCTGCCTCACTTTATAAGCATTACGAAGCTGAAAACAGCCCGCGTGCAGGGTTGAAAAGAGCCTTTCTGACTGCATACCACTCAGCTGACAGTGCAGCATGAACCCAGGGTCACTGCATTGTCTTCCAAAACTAATTTCAGTCAGAGTCCGTTCACACAGCTGAGAGCGAGCTCTGAAAACACAGGACACGGATTCATTAGACACAGCAAGACCTGGAGCAGAAATAGGATGTTAGTGAAGCCTGAAACTTAAAGTACAGCAACAGTTCCTCCAGCTGAGTGACTGGATACAGGCTGACCGTACAGGCTGCCTTCATAGTGCTTCTGTTATCATAATCCCTGCTGCTGGGAAGGGAGTGTTAGACAGTGAGTAAGGAGTGTCTCCCTCTGTTTACACCTCAATAACAACATGTGTTAGGCCACCAGAGCACTTTACACTCATGAGTCATTCAACTTTTATATTTGAAGCTAAAAAAGGTTTTAAATCGAGCTTAGAATAACAAAGCAAGCACAACTCCCCTTAATGCCTTAATTTGTCTCATCCAGTGCAAAGCTGTCTCTGATCCTGCTTTCTCTCGTTTAAGGTTTTCTTAATGCCAGACTCCGTTTAAAAAAGCCGCGTTTTTATCTCCTAAAGCTTACAAATAACTCGGTATGATGTGTAGCATATTTACTGATACTCTGCGGGATTTAATAGGATATTTCTGTAACATCGGCCCACATATAGCTATAGTTCATTAAACAGATCTGATAAGGTTTTTGGGTTGTTTGACTGCACCTTTCTCCATTAGAAAGTGTAAACGAAAGGGAGATCCGCGCCTGAAAGTTGATATTTTACGTATAAAACGTGGTGTGTGTTAAGTGATATGAAAGCCGAATCTACCAGGAGACTCTAATAAATCACAAAAACCCTTAAACTGCGTGGTAAGACGCGTGTAAGTAACACAAAACCCCCGCAACCTCAAACTACCGCACTTTCTTTACGGAGTTCGGCGCGTTCGCTATTAATCGCTTTTAATCGCTTTTAACGGGATTAAACGGGTCTTTTCTTGGTACCATCTCTTTCCGCAGGAGAGCCAGGGCAGCGTCGAGGTTGGCCGGCTTGTTGGCCAGCAGGTTGTCGGTGTTGTTCCTGCCTCGGCTCAGGTCGTCCTGGATCATGGTCTTCTTCACGTACATCCTCTCCATTTCTCTCCAGGAGCCGCCGCTCGAGTTCAGCAAGCCGCTCAGGCTCTTCGGCAGCGGCGGCAGACCCTCGATACAGGCCATCCCTCCCGCCGAACCGTTGCTCGACTTACCGTTCATCGTTAGCGTTCAGTTTTTACGGTGCTTTTAAAATAAATCCCGGTGAACGCCGAGAATTAAAACGGGCTCCTACAACCAAACACACCGAGCGACAACCGGGGCGGGTTCTCTGCCGTCAAAGGACCCGGATTGAGGTCGGTGAACGTCCGGTGGGGTTATCAAAATAAAAGCATCGCTATTTTAACTTGAAAATACAGTACACATATATATATATATTGTTTTTTTCCCCTTCTCCATCCACGGTGTGATATATATAATATAATTTTAACACTTTTATTCAGCAGATATCTTTCATTACATTAGTACATAATTACATTTGTCACATGCACCACCAGAGAC